TTACACCTAATGTTGTTAAATGAATGTGTATTGCATTATTTCAGTTTCATGTGTGTTACCGTGATGGTGTTTAGTGTTTGTGTGAATGACACACTGTGCACCTTCTATATATGTTATTATTTAAAAGCTGCTTGTGATGGGCTTTGGTTAATCATGTGACTTTCTCATCACCACCTGCTTTTGGTGGTTGTCAGTGTATTACAAAGCTACAAAACAGAAAAAAGGTTTCAGTACTTCAATAGGTTGGTATATTAACATGATATCAGTTAAAGAAATTACGGTATTTAACTGTAAATTTAAGTTAAAACCGTAAAAACATTGCTACCATATTTTTTACGGTAAAATTCCGGCAAACACAGCTGCCGTTTTTTTACCGTAAATTTTACATATTTTTTTTACAGTGTATGTTAAGGGAAAACACACTGAATGTTCTGCTCTTTCTTTTTTTCTTTCTTTCTAGATTTTCTCAGTTACACCTTATGATACCTTTTGTTGAGTACATTAGCATTACCACATTATATACTGTACTGCTTAACAGATTAAAGTTAATTAGTTAACAGAAATGTCATAACAATTGGATAACAGATTTTGTCCAATTTTCTCCATGGAGCTTCTGTTTGTAATTGCAATATGTATTTATTTATTAGTTAGTTAGTTTGTTTAAATTAACAAATACATATCATTATAATACTATTAAACTGTAAAGTATTTCATATTATTCATTTAAATTTACATTTTTTTTTACATTTATTCATTTAGCAGACTCTTTTATCCAAAGCGACTTACAATTGAGGAATACAACAAGCGATTCATCACAGGAAGTGCTCGTAATACAAAGTTTCAGACATTGTTCAGATTAGTACAAGTACTAGACGGGGGGTTAAGGAAAGAGAAAGCAAAGTTGTTTTTGTTGGATGCAGTGAAATGTTGACGAAAGAGATGAGGTTTCAGCTGCTTGAAAATTGTCAGGGTTTCAGCATTCCGGATAGGGGTGGGAAGATCGTTCCACCAGCCGGGAACGGTGAATGAAACTGTTCTGGAAAGTGATTTTGTGCCTCTCTGTGATGGTACCACGAGGCATCGCTCATTCAGAGATCTCAGACTACTGGAGGGGATGCAGATTCGCAGTAGTGAGTGGAGGTAGGATGGTGCTGAGCCTGTGGCTGTTCTATATGGCAAGCATCAATGTCTTGAACTTGATGCGAGCCGCAAACGGTAGCCAGTGCAGAGAGATAAAGAGAGGTGTGTTGTGGGCTCGTTGAAGATCTGTCGTGCTGCTGCATTCGGAATCATTTGAAGAGGTTTGATTGCGCATGATGGAAGTCCAGCCAGAAGAGCATTGCAGTAGTCCAGCCTAGAATTGACAAGGGCCTGGACAAGAAGTTGTGCAGCATGCTCCGTTAGGATGGCCCTGATCGTTCTGATGTTGTGCAATACAAACTTGCAAAATCAAGAGTTTTTTATTTTTTTTATCTAATTATTATTATTGTTGTTGTTATTATATAACAACTAGTGATGCACGATATAGCAGATTCTGATATATTTCCTTTTGTTTAGAAACTACACCAAGTTTCTCTTGTATGGTGATTTTAACCTTTTTTTCTATTTGTTTGTTTGTTTGTTTTCACTTTGGTTAGTTTTGAGCAAAAACTTACTTGCTAGAACTAAATTATATATATATATATATATATATTTAGTTTCAAATAGCATTGAAAGCTTTGAAAATAACAATAAAAAAAATATATATTTTTTTTCTTTCCACCAGACAGATTTTATTTGGAGATTTAACATTTGTAGCAAAAGAGTTGTAAAAATTCTAAAAATGTTTTAGAGCTCCTTGTATTTAAGTTTTCATAATCCATTTGAAAAAAAATAAAATTGTGTATATATACACTACAAATCGTTCTGATCCCAGACTTTTGACCGGTAATGGTTTTTTTTTAAAGGAGTTTCTTCTGCTCATCAAGGCTGCATTTATATGATCAAAAATACAGGAAAAAATGCAATATTGTGAAATATTATTATGATGTAAAATAACGGTTTTCTATTTTAATATACAGTAATATCTCATTTATTCCTGTGATGCAAAGCTGTATTTTCAGCATCATTAATCCAGTCTTCAGTGTCACACGATCCTTCAGAAATCATTCTAATATGCTGATTTATTATCAGTGCTGGAAACTGTTGTGCTGCTTAATATTATTTTTTGGAACCTGTGATACTTTTTTTGCAGGATTCTTTGATGAATATAAAGTTAAGAAGATAACATAGAACTATTTTCTAACAATAAACACTACCATTCAAATGTCTGGGGTCAGTAAATTTGTATTCTTTCTTTTTTTGAAAGAAATTAAAACTTTTATTCAGCAAGGATGTTTTAGCAAATATTTATATTGTTAGGAAAATTTACATTTTGAATAAATGCTGTTCTATTAATAATAAATGGATTACAATAAATTGATTAAACCGCTCAGTTCATATTTTTGTATGTCTTAAAGTTTTGATTACCTGGACTTTCACTGGATGGACAGAAATCTCTCAGGTTTCATTAAAAAAAAAATTCATTTATTGTTTGACGATGAATGAAACTATTATGGGTTTGGAACAATATGATAAATAGACAAATAACATTCAGTAAATTAAAACATAACATTTTGAGTAACTCTTATTTTATTTTTAGATATTTATACTTCTGCACCCACAATTTACAACTTGTCCTGTGACGCACTAAGTACTTTGATATTAAATAAATAAATAAAATTGACAGTGCTTGCAACTATGTAAAATACTAAAATGTATATAGAAATCACATGGGAGGGAGAAACTATCAGTACGAGATTCATTCAGAAACACGATTTCAACACAAGCCCTGATGCAAACCATGCACTAAGGATTTATATAATTGTGTTGCTAATTACAGCCTTATTTCGCAGTGCTTTAAAAACTAGTGGATTGGAAAGAGGTCTACTGGCAGCTGTATTAGTAAAGGTAGCAGCTGTAATGAGCACATGTTTTCTCTACCAGACTACAACCCAAGAGATTAATTAGGCCGCCTTTGTGAAGCTGTCTCAAAACAGGAAACAACTTAATCGCAACTTAAACTGACTGATGTTAGAGAAAGATGTGCAAGAAATCTCAGATCAAAAGTTACAGCTCAATTTACATTTAGCCCTTTTCTGTTCCGTTTAGCACAGAGCTGTACATCAGCGTAAATATCCTGCGCCATTAACAGTTTATTCGTAGAGATGGAAACAAAGCTTCTTCTCTGCTGTCTGATGGAGGAGTCGCAAGCGTTTTGCTTTATGGCTTGTATATCTGGAAACAACCGTATTCATTGTAAAGCTATTCACAGGCTTTTTTTTTTTCTCCTCGCAGCAGCTGATCTCCCGTTTTTATTAAATCTATTTTAGTGCTTCCGAGCAATGCACATTTTATCCTCTTAATAGTCAAATTAGTATATACTCCAGCAATTACTTAATGTACTCTAATGAGATTTCCCCACAAAACGGCAGGATTCATTTATTTTAATGCGCCGGGGCTCTTTCCAGGGAGTTTATGCATCATGTCCCTTCAGAAGTCAAGCAGCGCTGGAGTCATAAATAGTGTGCATGGCTCAGGGGATGCTGCGTTGCTCTCTGGATTGTAGGCCTGTGATCTCCCCTGCAGCCTCGTACTTGAGCTGTTCTCCTCTGGGAGAATAACAGTAATGTTCAGGTCGTTCTTGACCTGAGGTCTGACTCAAGAACTCTTAAATATTCACGTGTTCATGGATCTACATGCTACGGACTCTAAAAGCAGGATTGAAAATATTAAAAAAGAATGTAAGAAAAAAAAAATCTGGTGTTTATCTGGTATGCTTACGCACTAAAGAATTCAGCAGGCACTTTCCACGATTAGAGCTTGTGTCCCATTGCTATTCTTTTTTTAAAGCATTAGAGGAGCAAATCCCTTATTTATTTATTTGTTTATTTATTTATTTATTTGTTTATGTATTTATTTTTATTTATTTAAATTTTTTATTTAATTTTTTTTTTTTTTTTTTTTTACTATTATACGTGTTAGATTAATAATTGAGTGATGTGAAATGAGTCTCGAGGGCCAGGAAGGGGATCATTTGAACATACACACATAAAACAAAATATTACATAAACTATTTATTTCAAGCTGAAGCATTTTACAGCTATTTTACTCCTATTATCAAAGGTATTGTAAGAAAGATGAGAAATGATCTGTATTGTATATTTTTGAATTTATGGGAAATTTTAAGTTTATCAATTATCATAAACCAATATTTGGTTTCAAACTAGCTGAATGTAGGCTAGAAATGCAACACTGTTACTCTACTTGCAACTGTGTAATTGTATGAATTGAGTCTATTTATTTCTAGAAAAAAAAAATAAAAACAAAAGACAAACTCACGCAAACTGTATTTTTTATAGGTACTGACATCTTATATATATATATATATATAATTTTATATATTAATATCAGATTCAGATGCGCCAGTTTCAGAGACTATTTTGTACACTATTTGTGGAAGGTGCTAAAAATATTTTAAATCCCAAATAGCATGAACCGATATGTGAAATTGAATTCTGTACAACTGAACAAACTTTGCTCTTCCAATATTTCTCTCTGCTCATATGTCTTTGGCTTCCGGACCGTCAAATCGCTGATATACTCTGGAAAGGTGAAGCAGGTCTAACAGCATTAATCCTCAAGGGCTGAAGATTGCTCAGCGTGCTCCAGATGTTATCATTTTATTGTTTTTATAGGGTTCTATTGCACAGTAAAGTCAATAAACACAGAGTTTACTTCTCCAGCTCTTCTATTGGTGGAATCTTGGCAGTAAAATGCATTTCTGAAAATCTCAGCAGATTGTTATGAAATGAATTTGCCGAAACGGCTTTAAACTTTTCAAACTTCTGTGCAAAAACTCTATCCACAAGTTATAGGCCTTTGTATGAATCTATTTTTTTTATTTTATCAGGGAATGAAATATGACCCTGCAGGCCTTAAGGAGGCAAGGTACCTTTGATGAGGCCATTTACTTTTCTCTTTCTCTCTTTCACTCTCCTCATCTCCATTATGGCCTTGAACTTTAAAAGCCCGAGCTGTGACTGTCAGACACTCTTTCTTTCTGCTGAGCGGATCGAATAGGGTTGCTTAAGCGAGCTAGCCGACAGCTCTAAATGCAAAAAACGTCCAGAGGTTAGGATGTGGTGCCAGGCTTCATCTCTGGGTTCAGCTCTGGTTCATTTGATAGTGATTTCTCTTGTTTTTGTTTTGTTTTTTAGGGGGGATTTTTGAACAAATGGATGGACCTGTGGCGCTCGTCAGCTCCGAGGAACTGGCTTTCAAATTCGCTGTTAATAATATCAACAGAAACAGGACATTATTGCCCAACACAACGTTAACATATGACATTCAGAGGATTAATATCTATGATAGCTTTGAGGCCTCCAGAAAAGGTAAGTGGTGTGAGAATGTAAAGGTTTGTGGCTTTAGACCACAACAAGTAACAGTTCACCCCAAAAAATTAGCATTTGCTGAAAATCATCCAAGATGTATGTTAGTTTGTTCATCAGAACAGATTTGGAGAAATGTAGCATTCCATCACTTGCTCACCAGTGGATCCTCTGTAGTGAATGGGTGCCGTCAGAATGAGAGTCCAAACAGCGGATAAAAACATCACAAGTAATCCACACCACTCCAGTCCATCAGTTAACTTCTTGTGAAATAAAAAGATGCATGTTTGTAATAAGCAAATCCGTTATTAAGGCATTTTAACTTTAAACCATTGTTTCTGCACAAAATCTCCACTGTCCATAATCCATAATAACACTTCCTCCGATAGAAAAGTCAATCCCCTGTTGTGCTCTTACATCAAAATGCACTGATATTTTTTTGTTTAAAACTGTTTTGGACTGTTTTTGCTGGTAATTGGTGCTTCAGCTGTACATATTTCTCTCCTGATTCAGACGTGATGACTTTTTCACTGCAGCAAGCAATGTTATAGATAGAAGAAGCGATGGTTTGAAGTTAAAAAATATTAATTTGTTTCTTACAAACATGCAGCTTTTCATTTCACAAGACGTTAACTGATGGACTGGAGTGGTGTGGATTACTTGTGGAATATTGTGATGTTTTTATCAGCTGTTTTGACTCTCATTCTGACGGCACCCATTCACTGCAGAGGAACCATTGGTGAGCTAGTGATGTGATGCTACATTTCTCCAAATCTGTTCTGATGAAGAAACAAACTCATCTATATCTTGTATAGCTTGAGGGGGAGTACATTTTCAGCCTTTTTTTTTTGCTGTGAACTATTCCTTTAAGCAAATGTAACATGTAACTATTTTACCAGTAAGTAATGACTATTATGAACTGTTAATGTATTTCTTAGACAAAAACTACTTTAAAGACCTCGTGTTCTGATCACAAATACCGTAAAAACAGTAATATTGTAAAATATTATTAAGATTTAAAATAACTGTTTTCTATTTGAATGTGTTTGATCAAATTGATATTCTATCAATACAAATTTATTAAACAAATCATTATGACAGAGTGCAACTTACCACCACTTTGTAAAACGTACAGAGGAATATTCTGCATGCAGTGACATTTCTGTTTTGACATTTCTTACCACATGATCCACCGTCTGCTCTCGCCAGCGTGCGACCAGCTGTCTTTAGGTGTAGTTGCCATATTTGGGCCGTCTCACAGCTCCTCATCGAATGCTGTACAGTCTATCTGCAATGCCCTGGAGGTGCCACACATTCAAGTGCGATGGAAACACCACCCGTTGGACAACAGGGATACATTTTATGCCAACCTGTACCCGGATTACTCTTCTCTTAGCTACGCTATCTTAGACCTGGTGCAGTTCCTCAAGTGGAAGACAGCCACCGTGGTTTACGATGACAGCACAGGTGAGAGATAATGGCTTTATGTCAAGTGTGTCATTGTAAACTGTGTTACTTGATGAAGTCCTTGCAGCCAAAGTAAGATCTTCACCTTTAAAAGTGTATTTTAGACTCTGTACTTCAGTGATAAGAAGCAGAAGTCTCTTAATTTCCACATTGCTATCAGCCTTCAGCCCTCGATATACTAGAAACGGTTTGCATCAAAGTAATCGAGCATTGGTGCTTCTGACAGGAACAAGAATGGAAAGCAATTCATCTGAGATGCAAAATATGTGATAAAAACATATTTATTATTAAAAATACAACCACGATAACTGCCTGTTAAAGGGGTCATATGATGCGATTTCAATGTTTCCTTTCTCTTTGGAGTGTTACAAGCTCTTGGTGCATAAAGAAGATCTGTAAAGCTGCAAAGACTAAAGTCTCAAATCCAAAGAGATATTCTTTATAAAAGTTAAGAGTCAGCCACGCCTTCCTAAAGTGGCTCGTTCTAACACGCCCCCACATGTCTATGTCACGATGTGGGAAGATTTGCATAACGCCACCCAAATGTTCACGCAAAGAAAGAAGGTGTAACTTTTATTCTCGCTGTAGCATTGTTGTCATTGCCGCCGCGTGTTTCATTATGAAAGCGAAACAACTTTGTTCGGTCTTCCAAAAGAGGACGATATCTGCTTCGTCATGCCTAGAGCTGATCCATGCTGGTCGCTGAGGAAATTAATCAACTTTGCGCTGTGAATCGCCGAATGGACACGACTAGAAATCAGTGGTTAAGTTGTATTTACAACACTGTTCCAGAACATTTATGTTAGAATTATTTAGTGTGTGTCACAATTATGATTTATCAAAGCATTTTATTATGTTGTGCAAATGTACAAAATCAGGCTGCAAACACATACCGATGATGAAATGTATGTCACACGCACTGTACGCATACCCTAGAGTGTGAAAAACCAAACAAATATATATTTTAGCCTTTAGAGGACTGCCTTTAAAGTAAACTGTGACAAATTTGAAGTCTTTGCCTCTAACTGTGCCACCTGCAGGTCATTAAATAGTCATCGATGTTGCCTATAGTATATTATAATTAATCCATTAAGAGAGAATTTTTTGGGGGCCATTATACAAACACAATTTCTTATATTTTGTCAGCCTGAAATCATAGGTGGAGGGCGAACCAACTCCAGGGTAAGGCTAAAAGCAGCCAAATCTATTAACTACATAGTTATTTTTTAGGCAAGAACCAGACATGGGTGTCATGTAGGCTAATAAAATATGTTTCATGGGACTGAATTTGTATTTAATGTGATTACAATTTAATTAAAACATTAGAAATTGATAATTATATAATGTTTCCTTCCCACGGTTATTCAAACGGCAAATAAATCATGTAAAGAAATGACATCACTAACTTTGATCTGTCGCACTCTCAAAAAAACACAACTATCGTTATAATCACTGAAGCTGTCTACACTGCAAAATTAATCCCTTACTTACATTGTACGTACATCTGCGCTTTGTTGTTTTTGATGAGATAATTGAGATGGTCCCCCTGATCCACAAACCCACCCTTCTCCACCCCTAAACCTACCAATCTCCACCCCCTAGATGTGGATCCAACCACGCCCCCTGGATCTTGTGTTCTGCAGTGAGGGGCTACTGGGAGAATTCGTGGAATTCAGTCATTGAACATACGCGCATTCAACAAAACTGATGAGTTTCAGCGATGTCTCATCTGAACGCCTCTGATTAGCCATTGCATTCCTAAGCTCAACAGAATCGTGTGTGATTGGTTATAATGCGCAACACTGTAAAAACGCCTAAAATGAAATATGGTGCAACATGAGAAAATCTTAATTTAATGCGCAGTCGACACTTTCTATTAATTTACACTTTGTTAGCAACAGACGCAATAGATTTAATTTGATTGTGCAGGGGAATTTTTGTCCAATTTAGTGGGATTTTTGCCCCAAGACCCCGTGGCCAGGGGAAGGCTAAGCCTTCCAGCCTTACACACGCTCCGCCTATGCCTGAGATATAAATACATAAAGCACACTTGTCATTTAAGAAACTTAGCAATGTAGAAATCACTCTTTTTTTATCCAGTGCTGTAGATGTGAAGGGAAGATTTAGGTGGTGTGTTCACAAACTTGTCCTTGCAACAAAACGAAAGCTCATCTGATATCATTGCAACTGCTATGGAGAATGTTTACTTCAGTTCAAATGGAGACTGAATATACTTTTCTATTTATATCGAAGACAAAAAACATTGTCCATGCAGCTACTGCGTTAAACCTTGTATGTTTTTCAAAGGATCTTCATTTCATTCAGCGTTGACGCCGCTGCGTATATCTTCCAGGTTTAACTGTAGGCTGTATTATTTCACATTTGAACTTATGAAAAAGTTGTGTCATTCCCTGTGGCCCGAGTCCTCTTAATAAGCTTAGTCCTGCGGTCACCTGTCTACAACCTGTCTGCGGCTCGTTTTTCTCTGTCAGCCTCTCCTGAATTTCTGTCGGTGCATGTACTCCCCTTCAGGCCAAAGAGAAATAGGAAATGCAGTCGGACACAGAGTCTGTCTGAGACGTCTGTGGGCTAAATCCCAGAAGTCTTTAAAAGGCAGCCTGTGTGTGTGTGTGAGTGTGTTTGTGCATGAGGGACTGGGAGACATAGAAAGTACAGGTACAGACATAGAAGGGGCTATTACTACAACCCATTGTAAGAAATGAAACAGTTTCTGACTTTTCCACAAACTTGAGTGATTACGGTCTAAAAGAGGGAAAGACCTCAGCATAACCTTGAGTTTTCCTCACGGCAGATGGCATAATTAAAGCAGACATACTGTATGAGCACCAAGGGAAAAGTGAGCATTCGAATAAACATTGAAGGAAATGTATTGGGAGTAGCCATGACCAATTTATAAAGCAATCATTATGTTTGAGTACAGGAATAGGGGGCCCTATGATTTCCACAATGCAGAAAATGTGAACAGAATCATGGAATCCAGACATGAAAATGGAACCAAATAACACTGAATGCCATGGAATTTGGCCACATTTGGATGAATAAATCAAAAGCAGGGTTGTAAACTACAAAAAATAAATAAATAAAAATGTATATAATAATATTAATAAATAATAATAAAATAAAGGACAGCCGCATGATATTACAATTTAATTAAAGCATTATAATGGGATCTAGATTAAAAAAAAAACATTATAATGTATATATATATATATCATAGGGCCCTACAGGAATAGTAAATTAATTCTCATCCTCATGTTGTTACAAACCTTTTTGTCGAACGTCCCCATTCTCTTTTGTTGTTTGCAAAAGACATTGATATCTTGTCTTTTGCATTCAGCAGAAGAACAAAAGTCATATTTGGAGCAGCATGAGGGGGACAGGATGTTCTGTTTTTTTGGGGGGGGGGGGGGGGGGTGAACTATCCCATTCAGGGCCCTTATCATGATTAGAAGCTAGCTGCACTAGCTGTTGTGCTATATGATACAAGAAAATCAGAGAGAGACGTTGATAGATCAACAGAGCTGAATAGTTCCTCATAGTTCCGCTATTTTGATTCAATCTCATTTGTTGTTCATTGTTTGTGTTGGATGCCACAATGATTGCAAATTACTCTGACATGACATAGTGACCTTATTTTTTCTACCCCCCTCCCCTTCCTCTTCCTCCAGGCCCAGATGATGGGGATGATGACAGAGTACTATCACTACATCTTCACCACTCTGGTAATGCACCGCAGTACTAACAGCAAACTGAATGTCATTTGTTCTTGTGCTGCTCCCACTTTATTTTTTGATGAATGGCTTTTAATTGCAGATGAGCTTTGGATCCAGTCTGCAATATCAATTTCACTTGACAAAACAGCCTTAATGGAGTTTCCGCCACCCCAGTGTAAACATTAGCCCTTCCCTCAAGCTCAAATCAACAAAACGTCTTTGAAAAGCCTTTACAAAGGCAACAAAGTGATTGACTTTTGAAGCTCAGAAGTCTAAATTGCAGATCACTGTTTTTGGAGATTTCCTCACTGTTGCAAACACTATTTCTCTTGAACAAATGTTGGTGTTGTTTCTAAATCAAGTGAGCTGCTTCACTGTCTACTACAAAGGCCTCATATAAGACATATTCAGTATGCTTATTCTAGCATTATTTATAGTATTCATATTTTGAATAAGCTTTCATTTTTGTATTTTCAATTTCAATTTTAGTTAAAGTTTTGTTATTGTTTAATATTTCTCTGTATCTTCAATTTGTATTTAATTGATTTAATTGTATTATTTAAACTTGAACTTCACTTGGTTTTTGGAACAGAGTTTGAGTGGCCTTTTAATGCACTTTATGTGTCAAGCATCTGAGTTATGAGTGAGGTTTACTGATCCTTGCTAAAGACTTGATTACTACCCAACACACTGAAAACTAATCAGCTGTGTGTTTTTCATTAGATTATAATTTTTTTTAGCACATGTAAATTGATCTATGATATTTTCACACATTTATCGTTCATCATGATAAATCGACCATAGCAGTCACCCCGAGGAGAAACTCAAGTTGGATTTCAAGACAATGCAAACGAATATACTCCATACTGTTGAAATGAGCGCACAATCTGATATATGAGTATATTCTCATATTGTCTGATATTTGTGCATAAAATGTGGTTCTAGAATGTGCATGTATATACGATTGCGCAGAAACCAAACGTACAGCAAACATCTATATGTTTTTTTAATTTCTAAAGCTGTGGATTTGTCAAAAAATGAAGGCAGTTTTGGTAAAACTAGTAGCAGAAAATTGTTTGCAATTTGTTTGTTTTGATAACAATTTGCATATTAAGTGTTTGACAACAGGGCTGTAGCAGAAATGGCCATTTAAATGTAAATTCGGTCAGTCCAAAGCACCTCCTGCATTAGGATTTGCACGCTCTCTAAACAGAATGGGATTTTCCAGTAGGTGGCAGCAAGCGTCATTATGCGTGAGTCATGAATTGTTCATTCAACGGATTCATTCAAATATGCAGATTAATTCAGGAGCGAAACACTTATGCCATGTTGCAGTGCAATGCTGTGTTTTTCTTTGGAACTATTTTCAGTGGCGGAGCAAAACTTGACAAACTGGCAATATTGCTTCTGAATCTCTGGCGTAAGAAATTAGTTCCACAATCCACACATGAAGGATTACATTTTATACATTGACTTGTATAACCGCAATATCACTCTACAGCAATGAAAATGCTCTTTGCCAGTGTGATGTTAGGTCTGGATTTGAACCCAAGAGTCTTCCGTGGGTAAAAAAAAAAAGCACTTTCCTATGTCAATAAAAATAAATTGTTTTGTTATTTTATTAATTCTGAGATGTACCTAGTAAAGCATAAAAAGTCAACAGTGATGTGTTTGAGATAACAGCTCATAACTGTCCTCAGAACAGGCTATCATAATTCCTGCGTAAAAGGTCTTAAAAGCCTAATTCATCTATAAAGGCACAGTAGTGATTTTTGTGTACTTATTCTCAGATTTTTGTGAAACAAACTAGCAGTAGTAAGTTATTAATTTTTATTACTACAACAATATTTTAATCAGACGTGATGCGCAATCCAATATTCCAGCAACCAGCAATTATTTTGTCCACACTGAAAGCAAAAATGCTGCCTGTTGCAAAAATGTTTTCTTTGTTTGCATACTATTATGCCCTCGCAACACACTGAACAGCTGAAGAGCATAAAAGTCTCAAGTTATGTTTCAAAACCTTATTTTTTATTAACCTTCTTGAGGGATTTCCCTTGTATTATCATATATTTAGCAAATTCCACAATCAATATCACCTCATCTGTCTTTGATGTGTAATATACAACATCCATCGTATATTAAACGATTGTTGTTCGCCCACACCCATTCTGCAGCTCCCCAACCAATGGAGTTTTGGTGTTGGCGAATAACGATTGTTGTCACGATACGCTGCTGGAAGAAACGATGGGGACGTGGATAACATAAATGGTATTTAATAAGAGAATCACAGGGGGATTACAATAATCCCACTAGAAATCCACTAAATTCTAAGCATATGGGCATCAAAGCCACATTGATACAGTAAAACATTAAGATGGAAAGAAGCCATAAAACAGACGTCCATCGTAACATCTACATTTAACAAGAAATCATTTGTTGAATAGTTCAAAATGTGCTGTTTCTTGGGGCAAGCCATTTTCTGCATGTGTTTTTCATGCTTCTCTCTGAACAATTCCAACCCCACAGGGTGTTAATGAGATATTCTATTATATTCTACCACATTTCTTCACCGCCCCCACCTTGCCAACATGTTTGGCAATATGTAGGATGGTACAAGAAACAGAACAACTGTTCTCAGAATAACACTCCAGACAATAGCATGCGTAGTGTGGGTGTGTGTTGGTATTGTTCTAGAGCGTTAATTAGCCTTAGCACATTACGGGAAGTTCTTTCAATGAACACGGTCTTGCTCATTTTGCCATTCATTCTCAGATTTAGAGAACCTTGTGTTAGGTGGCTGTACCTTTTGCTTTGACCTCGTAAGACGAAAAGATCTTGATTAATTAACACTTAATCGTAATGCTATTTTCCACCCCAGCAATTTCATTTTCAGAGTATGTCCTCCCACATCACTGCATTGAGAATATGAAATTTGGATCCTTTTTTGAAGAATCCACACTGTTAAAATCATTGAATGCCCAGAAATAGTGATACATTTTAGTGTCAAGTCGGCATTCAGAGCGGTGTGAAGTCTTTAAGGTTCAATTGGCTGGATGGGAGCAATGAAGACCGGATTACAGAGGAAATAACTGTTTCAATCAGCTATTGTGCAAATGACTCCTGGCTCACTGTCTATGATATCATACATGCTGGCACAGAGGTGTACGAGCTACTATGCTTCATCTGGCTGTACCCAGGCGGCCTGGAAAGCACGGTATTATCCTTAATCTCTTTTATTTTTGCTCTGTCTATCTTCTTTTTCCTATCTTCTTTTTTTCTCCTGCTTTTATTAGGGGACAAAGAGACAAGAAGCCTCTCACCCAGCAACAATGAAGCTCAGTTCAGGCCGGTTAAATTAGATATTTTCTCTCTCTTTCTCTGTCTTTCCTCTAGGATCTCATGGCCATAAACCTGGAGCCGTACCGCTTCTGTGGTGTCAATATGACTGGCTTCCGCATCATAAACGTGGACAATCCTCAGGTTGCCTCCATTGTGGAGAAGTGGTCCCTTGAGAGACAGATTCCCCCAAAACCAGACTCCGGTCTCCTGGAAGGGATCATGACGGTATGCTTCCATTTTCTCTCTGAATATCACCACCAGCTAAACAAAAAAAATAAATGCCACATTAAACAATGGCACAAAAGCTTTGAATAGGTTCCACTTGTATCCAATCTAATCCATAGCCATACTTATTCAGCTAATCCATACTCTTAAAAAATAACCTTTAAGGGAGCTATTTACTTCTTAATATATCCCAAGACTGTGAACAGTTTCAGAGGGATTTGGTGTCTTTAATAATAATAATAATTACCATGGTCGGGAGAAAAATTGTGGTACTCAAATACAGTATCTACATTTATTTGCTATGTAATAGAATCCTTTAGACTGCAGCAGTTCAGATTTAATAATCCCAAATGGTATGCCTTATACGCTGCCATTATTGAATACCATAATATCATAAAGACTGGTTTCAGCTGTATGGCTTCTGTGATTATCTATTAATCTGTTTCACAGTAGTTCAAATACTCCTACGCCGTTCTGTACAATTTCTGATTATTTTAATGTAGAGGAGTACTGTTATTACACAGACACACACAAATGCTTTCAGAGCTACCATTTCATTTAAATTTACTTTTTTAAATAAATATCAAGGTGCACTTTGTCTATTGTGTAAGGTTGAAAACCCTGGCATATGCATCTTATTAGGTAATATTGGATTTGGAACAGCTAACAAGACTGATGTGAGGCATATAGTTCCTACCACATCCATCTGTGTGTTGAATGTTTGAATACATTTCATTGCAACCACTCAGTTTAGTCAGTCCAGCTATTGACTGAATGTACTTTTTCATCTGGTCTAGTGTTCCCAGCACTCTCTTATTACCCACAGCTCTCAAATCACAACAACTTTTTGCCTGGTTACAAGAAGCCTATGGCAAGGTCGATATAAAGGACATCTCAGTGAACACATCTTCCTGCGGACATGCTCAATCTAGAGTAGCTCACATTGCCTGAACAAGCCCTCATCTCTCCAGAAGATTGTTACAGTAGGATGTGTTAGAGTTCGGGCAAGTGGATGGTGTACCAGTTATTTTCTTGCTTTTTATTCATTGTCCGAAGTCTTTGCAGAAATAATCAGTACCGTTGCTTCATGGCTGGTGACAATAGCAGAGCTGGAAAAATAACATGTTTTTTTGTCTATATTGAGTATTTTGGTTCTTGCTTGTGTGACCAATCCTGCTCCTGAATGGCCAGTGTCCTGCAGATTTTCCCTAACACACCTGACTGCAAGTTTTTTTTTTAGTAATTCTGAAGGACCTTGATTACCTGATTCAGGTGTGTTTTTAATTGGGGTAGGAGCTAAACTCTGTAGGACAGTGACCTTCCAAGAGCAAGATTGGACTACCCCGGTATATGTTAGAGGGAATGTTTTAAGAGCTGAGAAAGAAACTGACTGAAGAAGGTTGGAGACCAGACACATCCTTGCTGAAAATAAGGTAGATGTTAAAGTTATTTGATGAGCTGAGCTTGGGGGATCAAAAACCTTGGTCAGATTTGTGGGGTACAAGGTTGTATGCTGTTCCCAGTATTTCTCCTGGAGTTGGTGATGCTATATCTTGTCCATCTTTCAAAACGTTTTAGCCTGTCATGTAGGGGAATACATTGTGAACTTTTTTGAAGATATTCTTTGCAGATAGTTTGCCAACACTTGAAAGCAGGGATGGATAAGTCTGGTCTAAGAGGGTCACCTCATTCTACAGAGTTTAGTTTAATCCCTAATCAAATAAACTTGCCTGTAAAATGTTTGTAATCCTGAAAACGTTGGTTTGATTTAAGAGGTGTGTTTGATTAGGTATGAAGCTAAACTCTGCAGGACAGCACCCCTTTAAGACTCTTATGAAATGCACATATTTTTATCATACAGTATAACAGCAGAGCTGTAATGCCAATAAATAGCCAATGGCTCAATTAGTATCTTAGTTGGAGTAATTCATTTATTTGAAAACCGAGTTCATTTTATTACTTTTGGAGGTGTGTGTAAGGCATCTTATAGGTAAATTTTCATAGTTCTTCTTGAAACACATTCTGATGTAGGGCATCCTTACACTATTTAATAAGTTATTCGTTTTTTTCTGAATCTTACATGTTGAGGGTGTTCAGCATTACTGGAAAACAGTGTTATGAAAATTGAGAGAGAACAGACTTAAGGAAGAGGTGTCTGACAATCCTCATGTTTAGCTGTTGCCTCTTTGCTGTTGATTGAGTGTGTCTCAATGGGAACTCGGGGTTGGATTTGGCTCAGAAGTATGACTTGGTCATGCAGAGATTGTAGAAAGAGATTAGCTCTAGTCACAGTGGTTACAGATGCTGAAATAGTTGGAGGACTAACATCTCCTTCTCTTGTGCTGTACTTGCTTGATTAACCCTGCAGATAGATTCCCTTATATTTGTCCATCAAAGTCAGGACTCCAAACTAACATATGAGAGATACAGGTGCCACCAAATTCTACAAAATGGTAGCACTGACACCTGATTAGCTAGAACTGGCGGAGGGAACAGAAATGAATAATATAGTACATTATTTGTCTCATGGACAGTAAAGCACAGAGTTTGAGTTGGGATTAAGATGTAAATTTACTTAACATCTGTAAGGAGGTTAAAAACCCTATGTGTACGTGCAATTTGTATAGGGAAAATTTAAATATTCTGGACCATATTCTGTAATATTCTATACCACATTTCTGCCAAAAATGCCATGGTTACAGTTAGTGTTACTACAATAAATCTGTGACAAATGTTGGTAATTTGTTGATTGAAAAGCCTTCTAACTAGATCAGGGGTGGCGAACATCGGTCCTGGAGAGCCGCAGCCCTGCAGAGTTTTGCTTCAACCCTAATCAAACACACCTGAACAAGCTAATCAAGACCTGAAGGGTTACTAGGAAGCTACAGGCAGGTGAGTTTTTATTAGGGTTGGAGCTGAACTCTGCAGGGCTGCGGCTCTCCAGGACCGGAGTTCGCCACCCCTGAACTAGATCATGCATGCCACAAAGTTTTTCCTGTTTTCAACATTAGTACTGTTTCATCTAGCTTTAAATCACCAAGAAATCTGGGTTTGTAACAAAATAATTCTGTGCTGAATTCAAGTTCCTGTCACTGGATCGCGTGATCAAGATCAGTCCGTAAATAAACATACCTGCCCTGAGTTCAAATGAGTACCGCTGTTTCATTTCCACTTTTGAAGCATTTGCCGTTTGATGTTTCTCATCAAAAATAGCAGCGCAAAATCAAAGAGAGTAATCAAACACACCTGAACAAGCTAATCAAGACCTGAAGGGTTACTAGGAAGCTACAGGCAGGTGAGTTTTTATTAGGGTTGGAGCTGAACTCTGCAGGGCTGCGGCTCTCCAGGACCGGAGTTCGCCACCCCTGAACTAGACCATGCATGCCACAAAGTTTTTCCTGTTTTCAACATTAGTACTGTTTCATCTAGCTTTAAATCACCAAGAAATCTGGGTTTGTAACAAGATAATTCTGTGCTGAATTCAAGTTCCTGTCACTGGATCGCGTGATCAAGATCAGTCCGTAAATAAACATACCTGCCCTGAGTTCAAATGAGTACCGCTGTTTCATTTCCACTTTTGAAGCATTTGCCGTTTGATGTTTCTCATCAAAAATAGCAGCGCAAAATCAAAGAGAGTTGGGCAACTTTGGAGCTAACGAAATGCCAACAAAACAGTACGAAAAAGGTACTACCATTTAGTCGCAGTTTGGAGCAATGCAATGTCACACCCATGTGTAATCAATCAGTTACTTCAATCACTTATTTTTTCTACACTTATACTTTTTTAATTATTAGACATTTATACTTGTAGCATTCGTCAGTTAAAGAACAACAACAACAAAAAAGCCTTGTTCATAACACTGAATGCAATTTATCTAATTTGCAAATGAAGCACTTGCTTGTTAGCAGCTTATTATATTAGCACACCCTTATGCACTATTGAAACGATAAGTATGAACCATGGAAAATTGGGCACACAACAACGACATGAAAATGTTGCCTATTTCTTGAACCCTTCCCCCTTCCTCCTCCTTCAAGAACAACAAACCATTTACTCATTCACACTGTCTCCTAGCATCAGACTTGAATCAAAGGTTGAAGAGTTCTCTTCTGCTTACATTTTGATTCAACTGTGCTAATGGTCCTGAGCAGTGGCCCAGTTTGCTGTTTGACAAGGTTGTCAACTGGTCAGGTCTTGCACTCCTCCCACTTGTCAGATCCTTTCAGCTAACATATCACCCCACCTATTTATTCCAGACAGATGCTGCTCTGACATACGACGCAGTCCACATCGTGTCGGTTTCTTACCAGCATGCGCCGCAGATGACTGTCAACTCATTGCAGTGTCATCGCCACAAACCCTGGAGGTTCGGAGGACGCTTCATGAGTTTCATTAAAGAGGTAATGACAATCGCTCATGGCACTGCTGTCACAAACACTTCTGCTCTCCAGAGACAAGATAAGATACATAAGATATTGTTTAAATTACAGAGTATCAGCTTCTCTGCTGAACACTTGTCATTGATGCCTGTTTAAGCTCATTCCAAGTGGTTCTCTTTTTATTTTTGGTTTAAACCGCATTCATTGTATACGGTGACCCCAAAAAGTATCTGCACACTTTAGCGATGATGGCAAAATTTTCAACTGACTATTTGAATGAATATTTGAGGATTTTCAATATTTTCATTTTCATTTTAAAGAAAGTTAGCACAAGCACACTTTTAAAGTTCGGTATGATATCATACGGTGACGCATTGCTGCCACACACATATTATTTTTTCCACTCAATTATGTCGTAATAACGAGATGTTATGTAGTTTTAACGACATCTTTTCTCGTTAAAATGACATCTTTTCTCATTTTAACGTCATCTTTTCTCGTTTTAATGACATGTTTTCTCGTTAAAACAACATGTTTTCTCGTTAAAACAACATATTTTCTCGTAATAACGAGATGTTTTCTCAAAAAAAAACATCTTTTCTCGTTAAAACGACATTTTCTCGTTAAAACGACATCTTTTCTCGTTTTAACGACATCTTTTCTCGTAATAACGAGATGTTTTTTCTCGTTAAAACGACATCTTTTCTTGTTAAAACTACATATTTTTTCTCGTAATAACGACATATGTCATAAAAACGACATGTTTTCCCGTTATTATAGATGGGCTATATGGTACATTATGTGAGCGAGCTAAGCGACCGTCCGCACTGCTGTCGCCACAGTCTGACATAAACGAGGATCTGCATCCTGCTGAAATGATTGAAATACACTGTTTTAAATGTATTTTAATGTAATGGTTTTAATTGTAGCGGCATGTTTATTAGGATTAATCTCCAATCTGTCTACAATATAGTGCTATCCAATAACTGCACTGACCCATGACTCCTTTAGGCTATGATCAGATCAAAACTGGGCTTAATATTTCTTTATTTGAATGACTGAAGTTTGATCTAACAACAAATCGAAATAGGAAAAAAAAGAAATAAAGAGATTTTCTAATAGGCTAATAATAATAATTATTATTATTATTTCATTCTGTTTGGCAAACGAAAATTAGATTTTTCGTATTTTTTGTTTGTGGGTTAAAAAATGAGCTTGCTATTTGTGCGTGGTGGGCCCTAAAAACACCACTTTTCTCTCAGCCTGTCTTTACTGCCTATCCCATCACACAGAATAATAGTTAATCTCTTGTACCGCTCTGTAAATTAGTCAAAATAACGTTTCTTCAAACCGTCTGGCTGTTGTATAGGCTGCATTTCTTGCAAATATACATCTCATATAAAGCACAACATTGCTCTTCTCGGTTCGGCGGCGCCGGCGTGATCCCTTAGGCTACACGATAACAGAGGAAAGAAATGTCTGCTTTATTTTCTATACTTCCACAATAACAACAAAACGTTACAAATTACTTTTGTAAAATAACAGGGAGCGCTTTCTGGCGCATCTTGTTATGTCTAAAGGTCTACTTGAATAAAACAATCGAAAACAAATTTGTGTTTATTTAATTCGTATAGCCTAAATCCAACAAGAGGTAGCCTACTGTACAGTCTTTCCCGTCTGAGCTCATCTGTATTCCCATAAGAAGAACGCGATGCAATGCGAGGCTTGATTCAGATAAATATATCCTTTAATAATATATAATCACTAATACATAATTAATATATAATCAGACTAAAGTATCAAAGCTGCCCAGCATGTGAAACAAATATTAAAGCATAAGCTCAATTGTTTACCAACGAACAAAAATAGGCCTACGAAAAATCTAGCTTAATTTTCGTTTGCTCATTTTCAAACAGAACGAAATAATAATAATAATAATAATAATTATTATGATTATTATTATTAGCCTATTAGAAAATCTCTTTATTTATTTTTGTTCCTATTTCGATTTGTTGTTAAATCAAACTTTAGTCATTCAAATAAAGAAATATTAAGCCCAGTTTTGATCTGATCATAGCCTAAAGGAGTTCTCGTTAACAAACATCTCGTTATTTATTATGAGAAAAGATGTCGTTTTAACGAGAAAACATCTCGTCATTATGAGAAAATATGTCGTTTTAAGAGAAAACATCTCGTCATTACGAGAAAAGATGTAATTTTAAGAGAAAACATCTCGTCATTACGAGAAAAGATGTTGTTTTAACGAGAAAAGATGTCGTTAAAACGACATAACATCTCGTTATTACGACATAATTGAGTGGGAAAAAAATGTGTGTGGCAGCAATGCGTCACCGTAATATCACACAATTTAAAGACAGAAAAAACATGCATAACAGTTGCTGAAATTAAATGTATATTTATTGTATATCATATTTACTAAATTATATAATTAAAAATTGAATCAATATATAAAAAAATAAGTTTAAAGATGGCAATTTGATTCTGTACTTTTTATAGTAGGCTATAGTAATACAGATTTTTATTTTTTTTTATCAGGTAGCGCAAATTTCACACATAGCACACAGTGAATATTACATGAATGTAGCAGCAAACTGTAGCCCAGCATAGTTCGAAATCAAAGTTTAAAGTTTGTCAATCACACCATTTTTAGTGATAGCACAACTCTCCTGTCAGTGTACAATTTGCATGGTCCGACTGTTACACAGCGAGTGCACTCATGTTTATGCAGCCTACAAATGCACATTTCAGAGGATTTCATAGTTGAAGTTTGTAAGGTTAGTGAAATGAAATGTTTATTAGATATTCAAAGACTTGTTTAAATGAAATGCGTATTTGGCGAATGCAAACAGCAGATGAGAAGCTCTGTGCGCTCCGTTCTCAACGCTGTCAAAAGAAAAGTCCCACATGCTGTCAAAATATCAGCTAAACAGAAGAAAAGACTGGTCAATGATGATGATGATAATAATAATAAAAAATGCCACTACTTTTTTATATTTAGGGTCCCTGGACAGGCATCCCTGAATCTGTAAATATTGTAAATGTATGTAAGACAATGCCATTGCTACATTTTTATGCAGTACACTATCTTTAAACAGTACACTATATATGTGTGGTACCTGTGGTATCTTTCTGTGAAATGAATAACACTCGTTCTGATGTTTTGTTATCAGTGACATTCCTATACTTTCCAAATACCTTTACCAATTAGTCATTAGTAAATACTTTTACTACTGATAAATACCGCATCATTACTCAGAGGCGATCTTTGGTTTTAATGGTGAATCTTACCTGATAAACGATCACCATTCACCATCCATTTTAATTGCCTCGTTTAAGTGCAGTAGATAAGTTGATTGCAGAAAGTTTGCATTCGTACTGTTCTGGCCCTGCACTACTAAACTCACAGTGTCCCACTTTCTCATCATCGTGTGCTTCGCACACAAATGTGCTCGTCATAATCAGCTCTTATTTCAGCTCACAAGAGAGACTTTGATTGGGACTCATAATAGGCAGATTAGAGTTGTTGAACACAGCTCTGTGGAGCGGCGTGTATGAGAGAAGAGCAAAATGAGGGCCGTGGAGTTGGCGTGGAGAGCATTGTCTCTCTTTGGCATAGCAGAGAACACGCGTTCTTGTGAAATGTCCTCGCTCCTGAACAAGAACGGAGGTGTTTCATTTGGAAGAGGTTATGGAGAGAGCTGGAGATCAGTGTGTGTTGTTTGGGGGGAGGAGCTCTATGCTTAGGGGACGAGGGAGGAATGGAGAGGAGGAGTTGCAATGTAATTTTTTTTGGTTTCTCTAGAGATTGTTGCAAGTGAGATGGTCTTTAATTAGGACGGAGGTCTTGGGGGAAGATGTGTCTGAGGCGCTGGGATGTAAAATGTAATTAAAAAGGAAATAGAAGCTGGGTCTGTGTGTGCTTATGAGGATTTGTATTAGAGGGTGCGTGTATGGAAAGCACAATTATGTGTACCATTGGACGAGAATTGAAGAACTGACTCTATTTCAATTCATGAGTGTGAATTTGAATGGATTTGGACACATGCTGCAGACTGTTGAATTGGAATTTGAATTTGAGCTTATTTTATTTCCGCTGGTTACCATTGCAACATTTCCCATTTTTTTTATTTAGTTTAACTCACTGTACTAAAATTCAAAACTCAAAAATAGTAAAAACTATGTAGACATATTGAACTAATAAAAATGATAAACACAACATAATTACTAAAACTGAAATTACAATGAAAATGGAAAATATAAAAAAATTAATACAAAATAATAATAACAACTATATAATAGTGTATCAGTGATACTAAAATAGCATGTGCTGAACTGCAATTCAACAGTCACAAAACGAATTAATTTCATTAGTCCAACAAAACATAAACAATTACAACATACATCATCTAATGTTTCCTATTTTCCCCTAATATATATAGAATACAATTTCCTCAACTGGTTTGATGTATTTCTGTAATGCTGTCAAAACATTTAACATGCCACATCACCACAAAATAGCAATTATATATTTGTGATTATTCATAGAATAAATATTGACAAGATTGACAAAATGTTAACTATTTAAGTTTGATGATGATAAACAAGAGTATCAGGAAAGTGTATTTTCCCCATTTTGGCTCATTTTGAAGACTTTGGGGTTGAATAGAGCATGTATTAAATTAATATGTTAATGTATAACATATAATGAAAGCAAATTCAATTCTAATTGTAAGTGGCATTTCAGTATTTTCTGAAAATGTGCCATAAATTATATAACGTAACATGCATGATTTAGCTCAATGTAAGGTGTTTTTTTTAAAGCTGCATTCACTATGGTAGCCCCAAAAAAAGAACTAAAGAAAAACTTTTTTTTTGTGTGTACGTTGTACTCCAGTTATGCCTCCTTTGTTGATTTAAATTAAATTCTAATTGGGGGATTTAATTGGGATTGAAATAGCATTCTCAATTCAATTCTGAATATTGCACAACCCTGGTGTCTTTAAATTGTCAAACATCTCTGTCTGTTCTTTCAAGTCTCATTGGGATGGCCTGACGGGACGGCTGTGCTTTGTAACATGCATGATTTAGCTCAATGTAAGGTGTTTTTTTAAAGCTGCATTCACTATGGTAGCCCCAAAAAAAGAACTAAAGAAAACCTTTTTTTTTTGTGTGTATGTTGTACTCCAGTTATGCCTCCTTTGTTGATTTAAATTAAATTCTAATTGGGGGATTTAATTGGGATTGAAATAGCATTCTCAATTCAATTCTGAATATTGCACAACCCTGGTGTCTTTAAATTGTCAAACATCTCTGTCTGTTCTTTCAAGTCTCATTGGGATGGCCTGACGGGACGGCTGTGCTTTAACAGAACTACAGGTCTGCGCATCGACTTTGATCTTGATATTGTGAGTCTTAAGGAGGATGGCCTTCAAAAGGTAAGCCACCACACAAACACATAACTGTCTCATATCAGTCACAACATAACTCATAAACAAAGCACATATAGGATAATAATGCTTTTGCTATGTCTCCGTGCTTTGTTGCACAGTAGGAGGGATACAATTATCAAAAGCGGCTTTCTTCCGCTACTGCTTGCCTGTTAAACAACTCACTTTTGTTTTGCATAGTCGATTAAGCTAGAAACATTCATGCTGTCAATATGTGTCATTGCAAAGGATTGTTTCTCCCCGCAAATAACCTTCTGATCTCACAGTCTAGCATACTGAAACCTCTTGTACGTTGTCTCATTTGGTCACCATTGCTGTGCAAATAAAGAGCAATTTGTGTCTTACGTTTAATTACCTGCTAACAAGGAAGCAAATGAGGTGTTTAAACATAAGCATAAGTTAGTGGATCATAAAGCAAATTGGATTAGTGTACAAAGTACTGTTAATTACAAGCCTCCGTTAATGACCGGCTGAAGTTACACATAGCATGCTTTTGTGCAGTCATGAAGTATGTAAATATAACTGCACTCATTAAATTTTTTAGTTGATGGATTTTAATTTAGAAGTTTGACTGTCACACTGTAGACGCAACATTTGAATTACGCAAACACTGTTAGAGAAGCCATCAATGTACTAAACTGCACAACAGAGCTGCACAATAATGGTTGAGCATGGTTCTTGTGCTCAAAAAAAAAAAAAAAAAATTATATACACGCATATATAAACACGATTTTTTTATTATATATATATATATACATACATACATACACACACACATATAAACACGTTTTTTGTAATTTATATATATATATATATATATATATATACACACACACACACACACATTTTAAGAGATTTAAACACTTGACATCTGGCAACTGCAACCATGAAAGCATGTGAAGGTTTGTTACCAATGTATGACAATGCAATTGCCAAATTAAAATGAAACATTATCAGGATAAATAACCAACTGCATGAAAGAAAACAGACTTGCTGTATTACATTTTTATTTGAGCAGAATATCTCAGTAAATATAGCTAAACTCCAGTTTACATGTTTGCCTGTATTTTCAGCTCATCGCGTATTTTTCCATAATTTAGAGAGAGCTTATGCCAGGTTGAGAAGTTTAAGTAAACCACAGGGCAGAAAATGTATCGATTTAAGGGAGAAAAACAAACAAACTCAGATTTGAGGATTTAAGTGTATGACATCTGGCAACCCAAACCATGCAAGTTGCACTAAAAACCAACTACAAATATACTAAACATATCACCAGCTCGAATTAAGTAGCACGCACACATAAAAAGATTAAAACTCATAATTCTGTAGGGACATAATGCAATTCTCAGTAACATGTACATATTTTTCTTAGTAGACCACAGATTTAACTTTTCTAGAAGTAGATATTCAGGAAAAAAATGGGATATTAATCTGCATTTTAGATTGGAATAAGCAGGTTGAAAAATCTGTTCATTTTGAGAAGGCCAAGAAAGTCTCCTGTCGGCAATGTGAATAAATAATTGTGCCTTCCCCTGATAATCACTTTTAATGAATTGAGTTAATTGCAGTCAATTTGCAATAATGGAACATCATCATAAAAAGTGACGTAGCATATCATCTGAAACGTGCATCACCTTGAATTTGCACAATCTGTAACTAATACATGTGTCAAGCCATATGCATATGTTAGGCTCTGCATCAGGTAAGCGGTGTTATCGGGTGATTTTTGCACCTGCGTGACTGAGATTTGCCACTCTTGTGGCTTTATGAATATGAGAGCAGTTGGGGGCAGCGCCACACATCCTCAGACAGAGATGGATACAGACAGCTATGAGGCCATTTGCAGTAATGATTTGTTGAGGAGTGACTGAACAATATGCAAGACTTCCTTTTTCTCGCTGCAGGGGATTGTTTGTGCAAACTAGCTTAATTTGCCCAGATTCGCTGATATTAGAGGGAATATTCACAGTACAGCTATTTCAACTCCTCTACTGTCTGCATTTTACTGTGTATAAGTTTGCTGTGTGTTTGCACCTTAATTAATTGTAAGCGTGTTTTGTTTCTAATATCTCTTGAGGCAGATAGAACACTCCAGCTGAAATAGATTCATTGATTGATAATCAACTGGATTGGTCCCACAAGAGTTAAACAAATGAGCTTGCAAGATAACGTTCAGCAATATCTCGTCTTGAGCGTAGTTTTATGATATATTTGAATTGTTTGGTTAAGGTACAACCAATTTAATATACACAACTGGTCAAAACTTGGAATAATTAAGATTGAATAGACATTCTTATGCTTACCAAGGCTGCATTTATTTGATCATAAATACAGTAAAACAATAATATTCAGAAATATTATTACGGTTTAAAATGTTTTCTATTTTAATATATTTATTCCTGTGATGCAACACTGAGTTTTCAGCATCATTACTCCAGTCATCATCATCATCATCATCTACATCATCATAATCATAGTATTATTATTATTCTTACTATTATTAGTATTATTATTATTGTTGTTGTTGTTGGTTGTTGTTGTTGTTGTTTAAAAATACAAAAATGAAACAAATGTATTCAGCAGGGACACATTAAAAATCAAAAAGATCAAAAGTGACAGCAAAGACATTCACAATGTTACAAAATAATTATTTATTTTTTATTGTTATTTTTTATATACATTTGTTATACATTTATAAATGTTGTTATTTTAGAATGATTTCTGAAGGATCATATCACACCAAAGACTGAAGTAATGATGCTGAAAATTCAGCTTTACCATCGCAGGAATAAATGATCTTTGACAATGTATTCAAATAGAAAATAATTTATTTATTTATTCGTTTGTTTGTTTCGCAATATCAGCATAATACGGCTACATGAAAATGCATGTAGATATAGTGTGTGTGTGTGTGTGTGTGTGGGTGTTTGTGTGTTTGTTTCAAATGACTCTCACAATATTCCGAATTAAATTGCTAAATATACAAAGAATAAAAAAGAAGAAATAATATTTAAAATCTTCAAATGTAGTATTAAATAGACACAGGACAGCATACCTGGAAATCTTAGATATTTTTTTTTATTATTATTGTCAAAGGATGAACAGCTAGTTCTTTCAAGTACAACAACACAGCATTGTAAGAAACTGAAACACCTGTTGTCTTTCCATACTGGTTTAGTATAAACGTATTGATTTTTAGAAGAATATATACAAAGGAATAAGGATGGTTAATTTGAAAGGCCAAAAACACTTTTTGCAAGAACGCAAATGAACATAGCCTCAAACATTAGGTTATTAGCTTCTAGCCATGCAAGACTGAATTCACACATCACTGCAAAACTTGTCGACATGCAATTCATACCAGAACACATGTATGTGCGCCGACCTATTCACTAAAATTCATACATTTTTACAATGCAAACAGACGTTTGTTTGTTTATTTATCAATTTTAAAAATGAACTAACCAATGGCTTGTTTATAGTTGATGCTACATATTAAGCTGGAATAGGATTATTTAATCACAATCAATCAATCAATCAATCAATCAATACAAAACACCATTACAATGTTATCAGATTGTAATTCATACAGTTCTGCCTTTTCCTTTGTTCAACATTTTGTTTTTGCAAAATTGAATTGAAAAGCAATCTCCTTTGGTGGAATTGCCCTTCCTCTATGTTAATGTATTCAGAGTGTATGCAAGGGCCTAGGTACTCATGAGCCCGAGTACAGACCTATTGGCATAAAAACAGAAGAGCCAATCAACTAATGCTTCTGGATGAGCTCAGCACAGGGCTGCTAATGCAGTCAGATGGGCTATTGCAATGTGGATGGGTCACACAGGTAAGTAAAACATGCTCTGACTACATGAATTTCATCTTTTCTAGGTGGGGAAGTGGAGTGCATCTGGGGGGCTGAACATCACCGAGGTCCCCAGGCAGAACGGCATGAACATCACTGACTCGCTTTCCAACCGCTCTCTGGTCATCACCACCATCCTGGTAAGGTCATTGAGATGCGTGTGTGTGAAGGAGAGCGCTCTTCTGTCTCCTGCTTTATCATTCTATGTCTAATTTACTCTTTCTCCAAATTTCACTTTCTTTTCTAGTGTGCTTTACCTTGTTTCAGGTCAGCACATGGGCTGCTTTTCAAGTAAAGAAACGCACGTGCTCCATATTCTCATTTCCTCTCACAGAAGAGCCAAATAGCTCTGTCCCTTTCAGTGTCTCAGTCCTTGAAATAAATCGACCTGGCTGAATCAACAACACAAGATGTCTTCCCCGGTTTGAAATCAAGTTTGAGCCTCAACCTTCTCCCCTGACTGCTTTAGTAAGCGGAATAACAATTCTGAATTGGAGTTGGTACCGACTCTCAACATATTTTGGCCATTTGAATTTGGAAATTAA